AAGCTCAATTAGCATAACATACTACACAAAACATTATTCCACCTTCTACTTTGGCGAGTAGTGACTGGGATCTTAAAAGCTTGCAAGTAGCCATCTAGATGCAATGATGGGTCTCTCCTCGTCCAGAGCAAAGAAGAATGAAGAAAACCAAAGATTCATGGAAACAATTAGTCCAGGTGACTGGTACACCATGTAATCCTCAGCCTATATGATTATGAGACAAGAAGAACTAGATGGTGCCCAGCTACCACTGTCAATCACTCAGAGGGGGAGCTATGTAGGAGATCCTGGATAGAGTGGGAGAAGAATGTGGAACAAAACTCAAAATCATTTGGGAAAAAAAAAAAGGTGGGGGGGGGACCAAGTTTGCTGTCTGATAGAGCCTGATTGAACCACTGAGACTATGGCCCCTAGCTGCCCTTCAGGTCTGTAATTGAATCCACTCCTGTAGCTTCCAGCCAAAGGAAAGGTAGGCGTATGTGGTGAACATTTACCTGAGGTAGATACACTCCTTGGAGAGAACAATCATGGGAGGATAAAAGGGCTGTGTATGCACAGTGAGACAGTTCAGGGGACAGGAGTGCATGGAGGGAAGGACACAGGGAAGAGGTAACTATGGGGAGGAAGTGAGAGGGGAGCTGTTTCATTGTGGTAAATTGTAAGTCAATGTCATGAGACAAAGTGTATGTGAACTGCTGTATGGAATGTGAATTTGATCTGTAAACTTTTACCCAAATCACAATTAAAAAAAAAAAACTTGATAGAATGAAGGAAGAAATAAACAATTCAACAATAGTGGTTGGAGATTTCAATACCCTACTTTCAATGATGGATAGAACAACTAGATAAAAAATCAACAAGGAAGTAGAAGACTTGAAAAGCACTATAAGCTAACTAGACCTAAAAGACATGTATGAGACATGGAAAAGGAGGAAACACTTCCCTACTTATTTATGAGGCCAACGTTACCCTGACACTAAAGACAAAAGTATCACAAGAAAAGAAAACAATATCAATATCAATATCTGTGGTGGTTCCATTTGTGTGTATCAACTTGTCTGGGGCTGGTTGACTGTCTAGGCAGCTGACTGTAGTTATTCCCCATGGTGAGATTGGTAATTAACTCCATGGTGGACTCTATTGGAGCAGCTGAACAGCTGCTTTGAGTATATGTTCTGCTTCCCTTTTATATAAGAAACAGCTTTGGGAATGGTCTCTATCTTATGGCATGCTTGAACTCTGCATGTAGCTATGTCATTGTTCAGCAGCCTGCCGTGCTCTGCTGACCTTGGGACTTTCAATGGACTTGAATTAATGGCCTGCCATGTGATTTGGTAACATCGAGACTATGCCTTTTTACTTGTCAACCTTGGGTTTGTCAGTCTCAGCAACCAGCAACTGTCTGACTGAAGAAAAGCCTCTAGCTCCAGTGGGCCAGAAGCAGAATGCAGAGCTGAAGCCTGAGGTTGAGGGACTTTCACCCAGCCCCTAGAGCCTGGCACTTTGAACTCAGACTTAAAGTCTCCAGACTGTAAGAGAATAAATTGTTTGTGCAAGCATCCCATTTATGGTATATTCTTGTCAGAGCAGTACTAGGTAACCAGAACAATATCCCTTATAAATATAGGGATAAAAATGCTCAATTAACTATTAGTAAACCAAATCCAGCAACATATGAAGAAGATTATTTGTCATGACCAAATGGGATTTATGCAAGGATGATTTAACATATGAAAATCAATTAATGTAACACACCATATCAATA